GATCTAGATCTAGATCTAGGCTAGCCTCGAAACTAGATCAATGATTTATAATGTCTGTCTATCTAGATCTAGACCTGGGCCATAGATCTAGAAGAACCTAGGTCTTCCCTGAGCCAACAGGCGCTGAAACTTTCCGAAATCACAAAAGAGTTCCCCTACCGGGTCTGTATACTTCGTGACTTGGTTCCCAGTTACCGGGTCTGTATACACTTCGTAATATCACTTATTTAGCCTTTTGACCAAAACCGTGCACCATACAAAAAACCCCAGCCGGATGTAGCTGACAACACTTTTCCCCGCTGAAAACTCAAGCTTGAAAGCTCTTCACACACGTTTCCGGTAGACCTATGCTGTGTTGATAGTTCACAGAGCTGCCGTTTTACTACTATTAAGGCGCAACTGTAGTGAATATTTTTTAAAATTTAGCCAAAAGGACTAATGCATTAAAAATAAATACAACATGTAGAAATTAAAAATAATCACAACAATAACAACGCGTGTGGCAGGTCTGGGGTCACCTCTCGGGCTAGCCTAGCAAAATAGGCGAAAAAGTATGGTGCTCCATAGCGACCACAACCTACTAATTCCTTGTGTGCATCAAATTTCAGGATCTGACGATTGATGACAAAACAACCATAATATTTCGTTCCTAGACTTTTTTTTGTGAGTGAGTGTTTTACTTTTATTTGAAATAAGTGTTTCTGTTCCATGAATGTGTTGGATAAGAGAAAGAATAGCATCATTTACATATACAGTAATGGACATGATGACTGAGCTTTATCGTAATACACGTTGTATATGGTTTTTAAACGTGCAAATCAAACGTATTTCTTCACTTAATGTACATAAACTAAGCATATTAAGAAAACAACTCAAAAATGAACTTTATCAACCTACTATTCCAAGGATCAACGATAAAAAATACACACCCATAATATATATATCACTTTTTTCTTCATTAACCACTATGGCTCGAAGATTCAATCGCGTTGACGTTGCATTACTTGAAACAAGAGGAGAGGATGAGAGAGGATGTAAAGAAATCAACTGAGACCTCTGTGCTTTATGCCAGACTGATACTAAAGAACATTTAATTTGCTCTGCAAGGGGAGATGGTGCTGGGTATGTCTATGTGGCAGAGAGACTTAAAGGATTCCACACCCTTGGTTCCTGCCCCATCCATGTTGACCTGTCCAAGTTAGACGAAGGACAGGGTTTCTTGGCAACGTTACAACAGCATACTGCACTATGACTAAAAAAGTGCAGAAATTCAATAAACAAACTCAAAGTACAGTGTAAATGATTGCTGGGCCAGAGATAAGCTCCATTATCAAAGAGTTTGAAGCGCAGTTATTGGCCAGCCCCCAACAGGATGATCTTCACCATGACCAGATTCAAAACGTTCAGAACACCTTCACGAAAGAGGTTACAGCCGTGGTATCTACCTTTCAAGAATCAGGCAACCCTTTTGCTGAGGATAGTGCTACCTCATTGCGCTTGGCACAGAGAACATTATGCCGGATGAAGTCGTGCATGCTGCACGGAACGTGGTTTTTATCAGAACATCCAAATAACATACCTTCATCAAGGAGAGATTTGCAGACAGATCAAAGGCAGTGCGAGACACCACAATGAAGAACCAATTACCAACTTTTTCTAGACCTGGAAAGGTTGGGAAGGCAGCGACCGTCACATAAATGTCAGTTCTGAGGAGTGACATTAAACTTCTTTGCGTGAATGTACATCGCATGCCAGGCCAGAGGTACAAATTTGGAATCTTTCTTCCGGGATGCAAATCAACCCTTTCCACTATCTCTGGCCAAGTTTGGAGGAGGGCAGAACTGGAAGAAAAGCCGACCTGCTTGTCTGTCTCATGTCCCTGGGCACTCAAACGAAGAAAATAACTTCTTCGGTCCCAGCAATCATCTCGTTCAGTCAGGAGCGTTGAGGGTCTAATGGAGGTTGATGAATTTGGTGCAGATCCATCTCTGCACACTTCCAGACGATCTGCTCGACGTGACAGACCGGCTGCAGGATGAGTTGGATCTGGAGTGTTTATTGGCAGACTTCACATCAGAACCTGACCTTGAAACAGCTGCAGAGATTCTACAAGTGCAGACTGTCGAAGAAAGCCCAATGGTTGATGCCATGGTCCTTGACGGGGCTGCAATTGTCCAGATGCTAGGACCAAAGCTTTCAAAGACATTTCTTGAGTAAACTTCCAGCGTTTTCGAACCCTACATTCAACGGCAGTTATAGGGTGTGAGAAGAGTTGATGTGGTATGGGATATGTACTTCCCAGACAACCTGAAGGCCGCTGCAAGAAAAAAAAGAGGGTTAGCCGTTTGAAAAAGAGTCTCAGCACGGGCCACCATCCCAGGAAACTAGCTCGGATTCCTACGTGTAGACAAAAAAGAGAGGAACTTTTTGCCTTTTTGAATCAGAGAGTTGAACAGCTTTATGTTTCCGGCAAAACAGTTGTCAGCACATACCATTACAGAGTGTTGACATCGTCACCTCAGTTCGATGCCGAGTCTCTTGAGCCCTGTCAACAGGAAGAGGCAGACACCATGATCTTCTTAATGTGTTGCATTGCTCGAAGAAAGAACTGAAAAAAGTCAGGATCAGAACGACAGACACCGATGTTGTTGTACTTGCAGTCGCCAACATATTCACCATTTAAGTGACAGAACTGTGGGTTGGACGGGTAAGAACTCCAGAAATATCCCGCCCGTCTCATAGCCCGACAGCTCGGCGAAAATAGATGCAAAGCCTGGACATTTTTCCACGCCAAGACTGGATGTGATATTGTATCCTTCTTTTCAGGAAAGGGCAAGAAATCAGCCTGGCACATCTGGCGAGTATTTCCTCTGATCACTCGTCTTTCGCCCTCTTTCTGCTGGGCCCGAGTCTGTGCAAGAAGAGTGGATGAATAAGCTCCGGCGGTTCGTGGTGCTCCTCTTGGACAAGACCAGCACTCTTTACAAGGTACACCAGGCAAGACAAACGCTCTCTGCACAGCACTCACCATCTTTAGAAGCCATTCCACCCACAGAACATGCTCTGGAGCAGCACATTCTGCGGGCAACTTACCAGGCAGGCCATGTGTGGGGAAAGTCTCTCGAAAAAGTACCAGACTTACCTGATCCGTCAAAAATGGGGCTAGCAAAGAGATGAAAGTGGAAACAAGTTTTGGGTGCTTCTCTTGACACCTCTTTAACAGGCTTGTGACGTTTGTTGTGAACTCATTAAGTGTAGATGCAAGCAAGAGACAGGTGGTTGTCGGGGGTACTGTAAATGCAAGAAAGCTAACTTGTGCTGCACAGCATTGTGTGTTTGCTTGGGGGACTGCTGAAATGCTGAAGATTACTATCTCTATTAGAAAGTTTCAAAATTGACCATATTTCTGTGCTTACAAGAACTCACTTTACATCTGACAATGGTTAGCAGACATTCTGATGGTGTGTTACTTGTATTTTTGTCTTACAAATATGCATAAGAAGAATTGCCCATTTGAAGAACGCTTATTCAAAGATCAAATAAAACAATATGGCCAAAATTTCACTTAATGAATGGATTTGTTTTATCAATCTGACACATTGAATTCTTGAAAAAAAAAGTAAAATTACTGCTCAAGGTTAGCGTCATGTTTGAAAGTGAGTCAGAAATTCTCTGAGTGCTGTAGTATGCCGGCGTGACCTCATTACATGAAATATTATTAAACCCTATTTTTGCCATTTTCCTATTCCAAATGTATTTTTCATCATTTTTCGTGATTGATAGACAGAAATCTTACATTTTGAGTTCTCCTATTGTGTCTGGATATTTGTTGACAATATAATGTGGTGGTCTAGTGAGTAGGCTGAAAAAAGTTATAGTGACCTACTTTGACAGCTGGCCACACCCACTTCCGGTCAAGGATCATCATGGATCCCTTGCTTATTTGAAAGGTAATTGTCTTAGGAGACATATGCACCTTAAAGTATGTCTCAAACATAAAGTGCAGAAAACACCTAAATTTCGCCATTAAGGGACCCCACTAAGAGGAGGGGACAAATGAGGTGACGGGATGGGGGCGGAAAGAGGAGATGAAAGCAAACAACAGAACATTGCTAGAGAGCAGGAAAGGGGGTGAAAGAAGACAATTTTAGAGAAGAAAATTTTTCCGTTGCTACCCGGATTCGAACCCTGGACCTTTGAATGAGAGGCCAACACCTTAACCTCGAGGCCACCAGAGCCCTGTTACTGTTTGTATGATAGGGTCAGGCATTGTGAGGTGTTTGAAATGAAATAAAATTTGTAAGAAGCCCCAAGTCCAAGTGAAGGTAGATTTCCACTTCAAAAACTTTTTCGAAAACAAAGTTGCCCACAACAATTAGGCTACACTTTACAGACTAGCCTAGAACTTGGCTTTTGCCTTTGACAAAAGATTTGAATGAGCACAATTTTACTTCTCTTTCTGCAGAACACTTTACGAGGGCATGTGAAGATCAATGCAAAATGAGAGTGCAGACCTTTTTCAAGCTTGGCCGCACTGCTCTGCCAGTCGCTTTTGGAGCAGCTGTGATCAGTAACAATTTTGACCTGGGCTCACTGGGCATTGTACGATTTGGCAGAGCTGCTGCAACGGTGAGATATATTTGCTTTGTTGTTGAAAAGTGATTTCTTTTCAATGAAAAAAATGTTTCAAATGGTTCCAACCAGTATCATGAGCATAATTTAATAATAATATATAAAATTTGTATAGAGCGGCATACCCCCGCTCAACTGAAAGCTATCTATGCCCTTTACACTATATTATTACCCCATCAGACCCTCTATAACACTAAGAAACATTTTTGGCTTCCAGGGAAGCATACAGTGCAAGCAGCATATTAAGGGCTCATACATTAAAAAAATGACAAGGTCTTTTTGCTGGCCGGATGGAAAGTCTAGTTTAGGTTCCCTGACATTGGACTGTTCTCAGCTTTTCTTTGTGAGGTGGTTACCTTAAATATCAAAGTGTACACTAACAGACTAAGTGGAATTTCATGTTCTCAACTGTGTGATGATATTGTTGAACATATTAAATAAATTGTGGGAAGAGCATTTTGTTTGTGAAAACCATGCATTTAAAATCAAAATGTTGGAAGCTCTTAAAATATATTTACTACAGCTTATTTATAGCTTGTTTTAAAAATATTAGCCCAGAACTATTTTGTTGTTTCTTAGACTTCTTCATGGAAGCCAAATTTTGTAGGAAGGAGTGTTGTTTCATAAAGATATTTACCAAGTGTAGAATTTTTTTTCTCTCGATTTTTCTTTTCAGGTTCTGAAGATTGGTGTTGATTACAAACTGTTGTTTAGGAAATATGACACTTCACATCCTGAGTACGCTGATGCTGTTCATGAAGTGAGTTTGTCTACACTACATAGCATTGATTAAAGTAATAGAGGAGGTATAATTTTCAAGCAATTTTATTCTTTTACTGCAGGAAAATTAACTGTCTGCTGCATATGTGTAGGTTTGATAAAGTGAAAGTGCATTAAATAAGTAATTCTTGCTGTTATTTTAACTCTGCAATATTGAAGATTAAATTCTTAAGATAGGCCTTTGATATGTTACTATAGTGAATTATGTAAAGGGCTTGCATTCCTTTCAGGGAAAAGTATATTTTTTAAGGCTTATTACACTTAAATTGCTTCTTTAAAGATTGTCAGGTTTGAAAAAGCTTTTAAGCATAATTTTCAGTATCATGTATTTTGATGATTAAGAGAAAGAGTTCAGTTTAAACAGAAAATTTCCCCCCTTTTTTTTGTGGTCATTGCGGTATAGTAAAAAGTAAAGTTGTTCCCACTTCCGATCCGGACATTGGGGATTGCCTTGTTAGTGAGACAACTTCCTGGTATAGTACAATCACTTATATTGGCATAACTCGTAACTTTTGTTGTTGTGACTAATATGATTTGATGTGATACTGTGGTTTTTTTTTCCAGTTGCACTTGAAGTCTGCAACAAGTTTGCGGACAATGTGTTGCAAAAATGGTGGAGCGTTCATCAAAGTTGGTCAGCATCTTGGCTCATTAGAGTATTTACTCCCCATTGAGTATGTACAAACCATGAAAGTCCTCCACGATAAAGCACCGCAGTCAGATCTGGAAGATTTAAAGACTGTAGTGTTTGAAGACTTGGGAGAACAGGTTAGAGTGTATTTACATTTGTTTTCTAAAAAAAAAAAATCTTTCATTGGTAATGTTTTTGTTTGTGGGGATGGGATTTCATACTAACTATATCATTACTATGGATGTAAGACATGGAATGCTTCTCTGACTTGCATAAAGAGGGTCCAGGTTTTCTTGAACAAGTGTCTAAGAAAGTTACTGAGGATCAGATGCACAGACAGGGTCACCAGCAAGGAAGTGTTAAGGGAAACAAGACGGATCCCAGACAGAGATGAGGTAGGAAGAAGGCAGCTGCATAATGAAGAAAGTATCGGATTGGAATCCACAGGGTAAAAGATGAAGAGGAAGACCGTGTGGAACCTGGAGAAGAATCACAGAAATTAATGTTCAGAAAAGTGGGAAGACATGGAATAACATCAAGAGGTTATCCCAGGATAGAGAAAGGTGGAAAGTGTTTGTCCCTGGTCTATATCGTGGTGCAGAGTGAGAATGGCAATGATCATGATTGTATCCCTACTGTAGATATAAGATAGGTACTGTTGTTCAAGATGAAATCCTCAAATGTGCTTTTGATGATCTGATAGATGTTTCTTCTTGCAAAGGGACATAATTGGATGAGCAAAATGTCTCTCAGATTTGATGCGAACTGCACAGTTTGTGCACGACATCAGACTGACTGTCTAGCTGCTGTCATTGAGAACGAGGAAGAAGAAGAAGATGAGCAAAATGAAGAGACAAATGTGTTGATTTTTAGTTTTCCGAAATGTGCCTTTATTTATCTGCGCTGTACATGTGGCTTGAAATACCATATTAATATTTTTTTGATAGTGTATTCTGTGACAAGTATTGGTGTTTTTGGTTATTGTCATGTATGATTTATCATAGTTTTGAAAAAGTAGTTCGTAGTAGTGTATTCATTGTTATGAATTCATCAAAGTACCAAATTTCATGTGAGAACGATTTTTTTTTAGTCCAGAGAATTCAGGTTCTGTCTATCCAGGTGTGAGTAAATATGTAAAATATTTTTCATTTTGAAGAATGCCTGTAAAATAATCTTTTTTGTGTGATCTTATTGCAAGTGTTGAAGCTGTTGTGAATTACAAATGGTTCTTTTCAAAGCATCATCAGATAACTATAGAATAGTTAGAGGTGCTACTGTCAGAGTAGGATGTGCTGTTTGGCTGAGACGAGTTGTTTGGGATTGGGGCTGTGATCTAATAGAACTTCTGATATTGTTCACCTATGTTTGTGAGCTGTTGGTATGTACTTTGGTTTGGTCTACCCCTTCTTTTCAGAGACTACTTTTTTTCCTACTCTGCTTTCAGGCAAAATATACCATGTTAGTTTTCTCGCTGCTTCATCACAAAGTGCAATTCAGCTGAACTCGATTAATTTGTATCCTTTCACTGTTGTCATTGCAGGTCGACGATCTATTTTTAGAATTTGATCCTGAACCACTGGGTGCAGCGTCTCTTGCTCAAGTTCACAAAGCACGGCTGCGGGACGGTCGGCTGGTGGCGGTCAAGATACAACATCCCAAAGTTAAAGCTCACTCACATGTTGACATCAGGACTATGGAGGTAACTGAAAATGTGAATCATGGCCTCCAGCAAAATAAATAAAATGTCATATCCCTAGATTTATTTATTTATTAATTTCTTTTTTTCAGCAATCATCTCATATTTTTGGCTCCAAAGTCAAAGTTTTCATGTTTCACAGTTTTATCAACTGGGTTGCATTGAAGTGCGAATAATGAAAATTCAGAGTTGATAATGTTTGATAATGAAATGTCTTTAATATGAAACTCGATCAACACTGTCTCTAATTAAAGAAAAGACCATAAATGGAACTGTCATGGAGTCGGAAAATTTAAAAAAAGCAGTTAAATAGGAAATTACAGATTAAATCAGCAGCTGAGAAATGCATTCTGAGACGACTGATGTTGAAAGGTGATTTGTGTTATTACTCTCTTTACAGTTTTTGGTTCATGCTGTGAATTGGGCTTTCCCAAATTTCAACTATGTGTGGCTAGCAGAAGAGACCAAGAAAAATTTGCCTGTTGAACTCGACTTTGTCAATGAAGGGCAGAACTGTGAACGACTAGGAGAGATGCTGAGCAAATTTGAATTTCTCAAGGTATGTAAAATAGAATTGTTTTTTAATGCTGAGATGAGATTGACAGGAAGTCGTTTTCATCAAATTATTTTGTCCAGATGAAATGTTTTTCTGTATTCACAACCATTCTTCACGTGCATGCTCTACCTCCTCAACCCATTGTTTTATGTATATATCTTTTTTAAAGAGTGTACTATCCAAAAGATGTGTCAAATTGGGATGAAATAGAAGCTTCCAGTTTCATCTGTTTGTTCATCTCTGAACCACAGTTCCAACTTTGTCTGTTTAATTTTTCAGGTTCCAAAAGTGATCTGGGAACACTCATCGGATCGAGTGCTGACGATGGAATTTTGTGAAGGTGGGAAGGTGGATGATCTTCAGTACATGGAGGATCACAACATCTCTGTCAATCAGGTCAGTTGTTTCACATGATTGATTAATTAACTGATTCTGTATATGTGTGTGTTTTTGTGGTGTGTGTGCATGTGTGTGTGCATACGCATGTGTTTATATATGTGCTTGTGTGTGTGTGTGGGCAAGTATGTGTGTGTGCATATGTGTATGTTTGTGTGTGTGACTGTATGTGTGTGTGTATGTGTGTGTGTTTGTGTGATTGAGACAGGGGGGTAGATGAGTTTCGGAGTGTCTTGACGACAACAACTAAGACCATAACTGATAATCAAGTACCGTCAGACTGAGAATGGAAGAAAGAGGCAAAAGGGACAGGCAAAGATCTCATTTTTTAAATAGGGTTATTCTATTCTTGGGAAGCATGTTACAAATGGGAAGAAGGCTCAGACTTAAGAGTACTCAAATGCTTTTTGCAAGCCTAGTTTTGATCATTACATTTGATATGTTGACATTCTTGATTTTATGTTGATTTTCATTTGTTTGGGACAATTTTTTATCCAGAAGATATATTGAGATGATCTGTGCAGAAAAAGTGCTGAAGTATCAGCATTTTTATATGAAATTGTGTACATTTGTTTTGTAAATCATTCCCTGAGCTCTTTCCTTCTTGATCTATTTGTTTTCTGATCATCAACTTCTTTATCATTGATGTTACCTTCACCATCATCTCCACCATCGTCGTATCATTAATGCGAACATACATTTCGACTGCTCAATGTTAGACTTGGCAATATGTCACTTTTCAACATGGCTTATGGCGGAGTCTTACACTAAGTGGTTGATTTTTCTTTAAGTGTCACTGGACTCTAAAGAAATTTCAGGGTGATATTAAAGATCTGCCATTGTTAAGCACATTTTCTAGAGTTTCATTTGATGCAAATCTGGAACCTGAAAGAAGAAATAAACATGTTATAAAAAGAATTACAAAATTAAAAATATCTTTATTTCTAAGTAAAAGCTCTTTGTATTCTCAGGTTACTGAACGCCTTGGTAAATTGTACAGTGAGATGATCTTTGTTCAAGGCTACGTCCATTGTGATCCCCATCCTGGCAATGTTCTGGTGCGCAAAGGCAAGTCAGGTCCTGAGATCATCTTACTTGACCATGGCTTGTATCAGGTGAGGGAGCAAGTGCGGAAAATCTTGAGTCAGTGGTCGTTAAAGAGTTGACAGATCTGTTCTGTTTAATATTTCATCTTTCCTGTCCATTTTATTTCCTTCTCTGTCATCAGTGGATGATCGGTGCTCTGGTGTGGTTTGCTCTTTCTTCTGTACCAAACATCTATCGTCTGTACCTCTCTTCCTTCTTTTATTGTGCTTGTTACTCTCTAGTAACATCTCTAATCTTTAGCGCGCACATGACCTAATTGTGTTGCAAGTACTGTTAAACTGTTTATAAAATAAAAAATCTGCTATCATGCTGTATACCCAGCTTTGAATAATCAGTTATTTCCCTTAGTTTCTATATGAAACAAGCTTTAGCTCTACCATATCCTCTCTTCCTGTTCAGACATTGACTGACGACTTTAGAGTGGAGTACAGCAAGATGTGGATGTCCATGATCAACGCGGATGTGGAGGGCATGAAGCAACACGCGACAGCACTCAACGTTGGCGACTTATTCGGGCTCTTTGCCTGCATGCTGTCTGCTCGGTCTTGGGATGCTCTACTCGCTGGGATTGACAAGCATGAGTTTACTGTTGAAGAGGTAAAGTCTGATAGTGAGGAAAGGCTAACTCAAACTCATTGTATGCCAGGGTATTTCCTTAGTTTTGAAACACAATTTTTAGAAGTGGCTGTTAAATTCTTGGTGGAGGTGCAAAAAAAATGTGGATAAACAATTTATCTTTTATGCTAAGTAGAATGTGTTATGCTTCACTATCATCTATAAATGGATTTGAAGTTACAAAATCACATGTAAAATAGGAAATGGCAGACTTGATGAATGTTATTAGATAACTTCTGCTAACTCTCTGAGAAAAGGAACACACCTCATTTACGACATTAACAATATGGTCACCACAGTTGCCATACTGCAAATATATATTTAGTGAGAAAGAGAGAGAAAGAGTGGGGGTGAGAGAAAAGGAGGAAGAGAGTGAGACAGAGAGGGGGGTGGGGGGTCCGTATTCTGTGGCCATGCTGATGAGATTGATCTCATTGTTTGTAAAGGAGTGGAGAAAATGGCATTAAAAGTGCATCTGATACAACTTTTCACAAGTTATCAGACCCTCCACAATTTATTCCTCTTTTAAAAAAGTATATTTTGCCCGAAATTTTTCATTGCAATAGTCATCTACTGTGTGAATGAAATGAGAGTGATTCAAAGAACATTCAGCACTTATGGATTATGTCTGGTATTAAAACCTAAACTCATCAAAATTGTACGCTCACCCTGTATATTAGTTGGAAATTATATTTTCAATCTGATGATAGTTTGACCAGAGAGGTGATTTTAGATACTAATAGAATTCCCTAGCTTTGTGTTGTTTAGGATTCTTGAATGAAATTTAATATACATTTGAATTTCTGTTTCATTTATTTTATCTGTGTAACTTTTCTTGTTTGCTTTTAGAAAAATGAAATCAGAACCAATGTTGGAAACTACCTGGTGGAAATTTCGGCTATTCTTGGACGTGTACCTAGGCAGATGCTTCTGCTGCTGAAAACAAATGATGTTCTTCGTGGCATTGAGTCTGCTCTCAACTCAAGACCTAGCTCTACATCCTTTATCAATATGTCTCGCTGCTGTATCAAGGTTTGTTCTATCTAAAAATGTCGTGGTTATGCCAGAATTTATTGTTTGTTATTATAACGTTTGACAAAAAGTTTATAACCTCTTCGTTGCTGCGCCAGTAGAATTTACGGGCATGAACCGTGCAGCGATGTGCCTATAGCCTTTAGGATTTATGGGACTATGACATTGCTTGTTTTGGTACCAATTATAAGGGAAGTTACTACTAAAATCTTGTAATTATTATCGAGGTGCCTTCCCGTTATGTTTTCCTCCATTTTCCCCCCATTTGAAAGCGTCAGATCCCGATTTTAGCTTGAAGAGAAGATTAGATCTAGATCTAAGTCATCTACCCCACAAAAATGATTTAATGGCAGTAAACACAGATGGGCTTACATGTATATATTATATGGATTGTACAAGCATTGTGTTTGGTAGGAAAAGCCTCTTGTCACTTCCTCTTTACCTGCAAACACTCGCACAACATATATTTCCCTTTTTTTGGTCTCAGTTTATCAGTACTCGAATGTGTGTTGTTTATGTTGTTTGGTGGTGTTGTTTTTGGCATCATGTTACTTACTCCAACTTTTCTCCATCTATCTCTCAATGATATCCCTCCCAAAATTATATCAATTTAATTGTGGAGCAATGTAGATTATACACACAGAAATTCATGAGGAAATATTCATCCCTAAAAAAGTTATTGGAGGTATAGCGGGGTCACCCCTGAGCAGCCTTGTTGTGTGATTTCCCCCCGGCATAGGGGCCTATTTGCCTGCGGCATTGAAAAGGTTAATGGAAGTAGCAATATTATAGACCAGCGTTTTTTAACCTTGAATGTAAAGAATGCTTCAGACTGATTAAGCTGTTCAGGCAAGTGAAAACAGATGGATTTTTTAGCACAAACTTATGGGGGCCTATCATGAAAAGCCAGCCCTTCAATCCCCAAAGACATTTTTTTAACAGACAAAAATTATGCCCTCTGTTCAGATCAATTGCTGGAGATTCACAACGTTTCTGTGTTGAAATTCCAGCCTACAATGTTGCTTAGGTACTTGTTCAAGGTAGATAAACTACCCGCAAAGATGATTGTTGCTGCAATGGGTCTTTTGGGTGGCATTTTGTTTGGGCTAAGTGCATCAGGTTCCATCATTACTGTGATGGCAGATGTGTGTTCCAGTACACTCTGCTCTTCATTCTTTTCTGTTTTGTCATTGTCTCAGTCTATTCCTTGCATACAGTAATGTGGACATCATTGTGTTGACTGGCTGTAAACTGCCAATATGTGATTTGATACTTTATATATGGCCAATTTCTGTTCGCAGGCTGTGACTGACTGGGAAATGCTGTCGTGTTCCTCATGGGGCTGCTACTTCAGACTGAAACTTCATCAGCAACTGCAGCTGGCCCGTATCTCCATGTACTCTGTGTACCTTTGGCTCATTAGCTTACCTTTGTTTTCTAAGAGAAAATCATTGCATAGTTGATGAAGGTTTTTAGCTAGGAACCTTTGATTATTTTCTGTGATACCATGTTGTGAATGTCATGGCTGGTCAGTTTTGGATACATGGTATTAGCTTTTCTAGGATGACTCTGAATTAACCCCAACCTGTTAATCAAAATATGGTTGATTACTTTAAGTCTGAGATACTTATGTGATTTTCGTGCCAATTTAGAAGTGTATTTAGAGGATGATTTCTTTGAACAGGAATTTTAATCTGTTTATGTTACATAACTGGTCATTGGACTGGCCTCCAAGCTCTTTTTATGAAAAGTGAGAGAAGGTTCAAAGTTTGTTGGATGTACAAGTCCGATATATCTGTTTCAGTTTTCAAGGAGGATTTGTTTTAATTACAGTGTCATCTTTTATGTGTGTGTTTTCTGACACTTTCCTCTGAGAAAATTTCTAGAAACACTGAGCAGTTTGCAAAGTGTTAAAAATAGGAGGTGCATAGGATGAAATGTACAAAAAAAATCATGAGCTGTGTGTGTCAAATGTAGAAATTGACTTGGACTTTGCAAATGTCTGTTATTGTCAGCAAAAATTAAGATAGCAGACAGAGAAATTCAGATTTATAGCAGACAGAAAAATAAAAATGGAGGGAAAAAAGCTGATCCTGACAATAGCACTCTCTTGCGACTCACTGAGCACATTTTTGGGGGGCAATCTAATGTCAAATCTTATAGTTTAAACAATATATGATTGCACATGTCTACCCTTAGTTTTTTACTATTATTGTTGGGAGGCGGTATTCTCTCTGTCCCTCCTGTCTTCTCCCTAAATTTCTTGGAAATAATGTCTGATTGACCTTATGTTTAACCCCTTCAATGCCGCGGGGGAAATCCCAAGAACCAAGGCAGCTCAGAGGTGACCCCACTCTACCTCCCATAACGTTTTTATTTATAAATATTTCCACATGAATTTCAGCATGTACATTCTACATTGAACCACGTTTCTATTGATATAATGTTAGGGGATTTCACTGAGAGTTAGATGAAGAAAAGTTGGAGGTAGTAACATGATGCCAAAAACAACAACACCAAACAACATAAAACAATACACATTCGAGTAATGAAAAACTGAGACCCAAAACAGGGAAATACATTTGTGTGAGTGTCTGCAGTTAAAGAGGCCTTTCCTACCTTATACATATTTAGTGGCGTCGGTGGCCTAGTGGTTAGGCTCTCGGACTCGCAACCGTAAGGTCGTGGGTTCGAATCCCGTCAAGGGCCCGACGTTGTGTCCTTGGGAAAGGCGCTTTACACGAATTTTCCTCACTTCACCCAGGTGGGAATGGGTACCCGGCTATAGACAGCGAAAGGTCTTGTCAGTTTGTTAGTGTTTGAGCGCTTAATCAGCTGCTTGCACTGTATGCTTCCCGGGAAGCTGAGAATGTTTCGGAGTGTTCTATGGTCTGCTGGGGTAATAATATAGTGTAAAGCGCATAGAGCCTGCTGCTGAGCGGGGATATGAGCTATACAAATGCTATCTATTATTATTATTAAGGCTCGTACAATTCATATTATATGCAATAAATCTAAGCCCATCTGTGTTTACTGCTAATAAATAATTTTGTGCGGTAGATGTGTTAGTTCTAGGTCTAGATCTAATCTTCTCTTTGAGCTAAAATCTGAATCTGATGCTTTCATATGGGGAAAAAATGGTGGTAAACATAAAGGGAAGGTACCGCAATAATAATTTACTAGATTTTTGCCGTAACTTCCCTTATAATTGGTATCAAAACAATCTCTGTCACAGTCTCGTAAATTCTACGGACCATAGGCACAGTGCTACACGGTTCAGGCTCGTAAATTCAACGGGCGCGGCAACGAAGAGGTTAAGTATGTATATATATATATATAACTTTCCACCATGTGGGGCCTGACTACATAATCTAATCATTTGCATCCATCAACAAGCCTTATTTTGAATTCTACCATCTCTACAAACTTTTAGAAGTGTTAGTGCAAAATTTGAACCCTCTGATGCTTTTGAGTTTATCGGTAGATGTGCTGTATTATTTGAACTGCGAGACTGACAGTGAAGAGAAACAGAAGGTGGTTCACAGATAAGGACTGAAGTGGGTCAGATTTGTGGATTGAGAGCAACACTGCAGAGAATTTTAGTTTGAAAAAAACAACTGGAAAACTCTCCGAAAGTTGTTTTAAAATGCAACTCTAATAAGTTTAGTTTAGATCCATGAATATATCTCAGCTATTCTATTTTCTATTGCATCTTGGTTCATCTTGCTTCAAGGTTGAAAGCATTGATATACCAGTGACACGCTTCCCTTTGAATGAACGGCCTTGTATTTATCAATGCTTTCAGCATTTCTCCCCCATGACATACTCATGCACATGTATACTCATAGTGTTGGTAAGTTATTTAAAGAAAACATTTTTTCAGTCAGTTGTCCATAAAAGATTCACACAGTTAAATTGCTCATGACAGTTTCATATGGTGTGAAACAGTGTTATTTATGTTTGTGGTCTAATGGCTCTTTAGACATCTTAAAATTTGTTACTCCAGATGAAAGTGAATGTTTCTTTTGTGATACTGTGGAATCCTATAATAACGAGAGGGAGGGGACCAGTACGAAATGTCCGTTCTAGAAGGATTCTCGTTGTAAGGGATCCAGTAGTAAATTCAAAGGAAATATTGAAGTAGGCCTAATTTATGAGTTTGGTGTTCTGTTTATTTTTACTTTTTGGTATCTCTTCTGATGATGGCTTTGTTCAACATGACCTCTAGGTCTTACTTCATCAAAAATTGAATCAGGTTTCTTTCTCTAGCGTTAGCGATGTTGAAAGCTGGGCATTGGCTATCAGAACGAAAGTTCTCCAGGCTAACTCGCCCACTGTGTTTTCCCCCACCCCACCACCCCCTGTGGTGCGTTCCTGCATCTGTTTGCGCACGTCACACATTCGCTCCATGATCCATCACAGCATTGTAACCTCTCCATCCCCGAATCGGAGAAGTGAGATGCATGATAGGCCTAGATAATCTAGACTAGGCTGGCCTATCACTATCAGGCAATGCGTTCTGCTTCACAACTGCTTGTGTGCGCATGCTCCTCCCTTCCGACTCATTCTCTCTGGTCTTCATCGTTGGCACACATGGGCTCTCCCATTCTTTGTTTCGCTTGATCACCAACAAGTTTCTCAACTGGCGAGGTTTTCATCAGGTATAATTTATGGCCTATGCGCTGTGCACAGCAGCAGCAATATTCCGCTATAACCAACTCGCACGTTTATCTGATTGCGCTATAGCAGTATTTTATTTACAAAGATAAAGACTGAAAAAACCCCCGAGGTTTTAGAATATTGTCTTTATAACAGACTTCTCGTTACTTCAGGACTCGTTATAAGTGGACTCCACCTTACTGTTTCGTTTTATAATCTCAGTAATGGAAATGCTCATAGTTGGAAAAGGATTCAAAGTGAGGTTGTCCACACCATAGTCTATGTCTCACCCATGAACAGACAAAATTCTTTGGGAGTAAGAGCTATGTTAGTTAATTGTTTTTCCTGCTGTATTGGTAGATAATTATGTCGACAGGTTTTTTCTTTAAAAACTGATTTGCTACTGTGTATCAAAATGTTGAGCATACTGTAGTCTACAGTACGATAGAACATTAATGGTGCTTTGAAATGTTTTGCTTTGCACAGGATTTTTGAAGTTACTGCATTGGCATATGTTTCATTGAAGAAAAATTTATACTTGGTATAATACTCTTTTATTTATAAATGTATTGAAGTACATAACATGTGAGTGTTTCCTCCTTGATCAGAGATTTTTTTTAGAAATCAAGAATAAATTATCAACAGCTTGGTATTGATTACATTGTAGCCTACTTGTTGGATGCTTTGTTTTCCCCGACAGGATGACATGATCGTTGTGTCCTGAAGTAAAAGGGTGAAAGTTTACACTGAGTGTCCCCGCCTTTCTCTCTTTTCATTTCTTTGTCTCATCTTATGTCTAGAATAGAATTTCTCGGTCCCTTTTTTGCTTGTCTGTTTGTCTGTCTGTCTATCTGTCTGTCTGTTTGTCTGTCTGTCTGTCTGTCTGTCTGTCTGTTTATAGCCTGTTTCTGCTGCAAACCAGGCGATCAGCATCTTTGATTGTAATGACTGTTAATGTTTCACGTTTCCATTAACGGATTTGAGTTAATTTAGGAGGTGGGCTGCTTCAGCTCTGCCTGTTGGAGCAAACCAGGGCTGAGTGAGATACAACATCACAGCAAATAGAGGGAGCTACTGTACTCGATAAGATAATTTCCCTGGGCAGAGTCAAACCCGTTTCTTTTGAGTGCTTTACTTTAAAGAAGAGCCGCTTATCCCATAGATGCCAGTTCATCTCTAGCTTTGACGAAGACATAAAAAGAGTTATGTTCTTTCTGCGAAATATGTGTACTCCCTTCACTCTTAAATTGTGAAAGCACATATTGATGAGGGCATTTTCATGTTCAAAAGTTTTGTTCAAGTAATATTTTTGTAAAGTGTTTTACGGCGCTCGTAACTGCATAAGGTCATATGAGCGCGCGGGACACACCTAATATTTTCAGTTGGTAGGAAATTTTGAATTTTGCCCGGGTGGCGGCCGAAGCCTACTCTTATCGATTTTAGACCACCAAGGGATCTTTAACGTGCGCAACTTGCACAAGGGCCCTCCGAGATTTTTCGCCCTTGTCCGAGAAGGCTAGGTGTAGATCTTTCCTACCAGAAGATCAGGGGTGTGGCAGAAAGACAGCAGTAAGGAGGAGCCAAGGAGTAGCAGTAGAAAGGCTGCAGAAAGAGTCAGGAGCCCAGAGGAGGGGGCTAAGGAGGTGAGGGGGTGGGGGCAGAAAGTGGAAATCAAAGCAGACAACAGAACATTGCCAGAGAGCAGGAAAGGAGGTGAAAGGAGACAATTTTAGAGAGGAAATTTTTCGGTCGCTACCCGGATTCGAACCCGGGACCTTTGAATGAGAGGCCAACGCCTTAACCTCTAGGCCACGAGAGCCCCCCTATTCAAGTTAGAAAGAATGAAGCTAGTCTTGAAATGAAGTATGGAGGTGTTGTTACCAGTGTTGTACTTGGATTCTTAAACTCTGAAATCACCAGTCCCAAAGACACTTTTTTTTCATGTTGATGAATTGGCATGCGGAGTCCTTGTGGATAAAAAGCCCATAAAGAAGTCTCAAGTTGCCAGTTTCTGGAGACTGCTGTCAGTGAGGTGATATTTTACACACACAGGTGTCCACTTGTACGGTTGTTTTGAGCAACATGATCATTGAAACGTTTCAGTGGGTAGTTGGTGGGTACTCTGGTATATGGTCTACTCCTTCTTTCCTGTCAGGCGCCTATTGTCCTTATCTTCACTCGCTCTCTTCTTCATATTATGTTACTCTCTAGTACTAGTTATGCCTCAAATCTTCGGCATGTACGACTGCTCAGCCGCCAAATGTGTCGCTGTACCTTGTGGGGGACATTAGCCGTAGAGGCATTTTCCCCAAGCAAAATCAAGTGTTGTAGAAGGGGTAGGCAGTCAAGAAAACCCCTATACTTCTATCACAAGAGTGCTGACTCGTTGTGTAAAGACATTCGCAATGTCTGGGTTGC